GTTACAAGCCTTTGTATTACCCCTCGCATAGGGCTTTTTTGTTATTAGCAAACGATACATTTTACCACTCGCATATGTCGTTTTTACCACTAGCATATGGCATATTTTGCTACTTGCGACTCGTAACTTGGTACTCGCATACGGCACTATTTCTAGGTCGTACATACCTCCTATTACACAATAAAAAGCACTTGTTTTTACATGATAAATAACTCATTAAAAATGAATTTATTAAAAACTGATTAGAGTGTACTACCTGTTGATAAAATATATTGTCTATCTTTTGACACTTGAATGCAGTTACTAACCACAGGCATTTCAAAATCCTGTATCAGCTCAATCCTTCTTCTAAGATCTACAAAAAAACAATAAAAGCAACTATAAATAGGTATTCACTTCTAAGTTAAAAGCAGCAAACACAAACACATCAACTGAATTATGAAAATTTACAGATCATTGTTTTCATTGCACTTTCTTGCACATTACAAATGTATTTTGAAACAAGTCATTTTCAATGTCAAGTCCCCCTCCAGTTATTGGTGACTGTCAAAATCAATCTCCCAGAGTTCTATTTTTACGACTATATCTCTTTCACCACACGATTTTATGCTCGTCATTGATTGGTTGATGCATCACAGTGCCACTACGTTCAAAGACGCCCAACAAAACATTGTCATGTGTAGGTGTTTGATTTTTGAACCCAACGAAAGCGTAGGCATTGTTTGTATATTCTGGCTGTTTTCAAAGTGAGAAACTCGTTTTTTTACTTTCCATAACACAAACGATGTGACAGTAGGACAATTTAGCCATTAATACTACAAGTGCTTTTGTTTGTTTATATTTCTACGCCAGGCAATCCACAGGACCGAGTGTTTGGTGTTCTAGCTGCAAGGAACTCTGGGAAGAAGAATGTGTTAACATTAGTGCCAAATAATTATTTACACTCATGTGACAGACATTGTACCTAGTGGAGCTAATTTATTTGTGTGAATGTGAATGGACGTAGAGTTTGAATAAAATACTGCATGACTGCAATCTGGTTCCAGAATGGCAGAAATGTCGTCCTCAGACATTTTCAATTGAATCATGAAATAAATGCATGATATGATGTGTGAAGTACGTTTCAAGTTTGAATGTGATCGATCAAAACATGTGACAGATACACTGGATCACAAAACAAAAGCCTGTGCTTATGTATGTATGATATCATGTGTGATGTTTGTGTGAACTTTGATTGAAATCAGTCAAGGCATATCTAAGATACAGGTGCTTATGTGCACAGGGACACACTGATGCAGGGAATTACAAGTCTGAACATCAAGGTATCAAGGTTCAATTTACATACAAAGTTTGAACAGAATCCAATGCAAGATTGAGAACCAGTTTCAAAATGGTGAAATGTGTGATTCATTTTTGTCCCCAAAATGGCTGTAATTCAGCCATCTTGAATCAGAACATTTATGTGCATACAGTATGTCTGATAAGATGTATGTGTATCTTAACCTGATCAGTCCTAGCATATGTGAGATAGTGCTGGATATTAATGCTTGCACAATCCATAAGTCTCTTTTTCAAACTCTGTTCAAATAGGAACTGTTCAAATAGGACATGAACATGGTAAACATGTATATGTATCTGTTCCTGTGTGCTTCAACAAAATATGTTATTATGTTTACGTCCCAGAGAAGAGTGAAGCAAAATAATTTGAATGCATAAATATGTTTAGCATATGTATTTTAAGTTGTGACAAAGTCAGCATGACCTCGATTTACTACATTTACTAATGTTTACAAATATCAAAATGCGTATCACATAAATTTAGATTTTATTAAAGGAAGAACACCCAGTGATGTAAATTAATTTTGTTTCCAAGAGGAAAAAAATGAAATGTAGGTAGTCCCAAGAAAACTTACCCCCCCCCCCAAATAAATAAAAAAATGAACAAGTAAATAAATAAATAAATAAATAGTAAAGTGGTCGGTATTTTAATCAAAGTAAGTTGTTATTTTGACTGGCTCTTTCCTACATCACTGTGAACACAAGTACAAATCTTCTAAAAAAAACAATATAGCCACACATATTGTTGGTTATTGCATGCAATAAATTTAGATTAAAAAAATGTGTTACTGAAATGATGTGGTAGCGAACTGCAGAATAAATTACCTTAGTTTAAAGATATAAATCAAGTTTCTGACGTTTGTCATTTAAGGATGGCAACTACATGAAACCATTTTATTGTAAAAGCATCCTTTTCCTATTCAGCAACAGACTTTCTCGCCTGAATTTGTCTGCACTTTTTTTCTTATACTAATTCTTATACATAATATTTCTGAAAATAAACCCTAACATTGTCATCAACAAACAAAATAAGTAAATTTTTAGTTTTTACTCAACAAATTTGGAGGGAAATGGTTGTGAAATGGTTAATGACGCTAGTTTGGTTTGAAAAGTATAATATTATAAGGTTAGTATTTGTGTTGTTTGCTACCTGCAAACAGAACCGCCTACTTGGCATAATCCTAGCTGTAATGAATGACGTAAACGTTTGTTATCAGTACAGACCGTCTCAGAACTCCATAGCGTGAAAGAAAACGGTCAAAAAATACAGTTTTTTTACAGATATAAATGTTGATTCATGATTTTTCTTGAAAATAACCTTCTAACTATTAGCCCATATAAATTTTGCTGCTAAAACAGGAGTTAACCTCGATTGAAGTTTAAAATCATAAAAGTGCCGATTTCTCGGTGTTCGGTTTCTGGCAATTACCGTTGACCTAATTTTAAATAGCGTTTCAGTGAGTAGCGCTACGATGTCGTCATCTAGCTTTTCGTACTCTCGAATATGTTGGCTTCATATCCGTATTTACATTTTTGCGGAATTCTATCGCGTATTTTCTCAAACCTCGTGCAAACCACCGGTATACACTAACTTCAACACCAAAAAACGTGCTTGAAATTTTTGATTTTCGGAGAGGAAAAAAAAACTTAATGTAAAAAATAGAAATACGGATTTAAACTTCATGACCCTTGCTTCAAAACAGTGTAAAGTTTTTGGCCGCATGCATGATCGTAGAGCTGACATTTAAAAATGTATTCATGTTAGTTAATTATCAGCCGTGCCGATTTTCAGACTCACATGACGCTAAAACAAACACAATGTTCACAAAATATTAATAATAGAAAAGTACAAGTCAAGGGCTTTCCAAACATATATAGATTGTATGGTTTCTTGTAAAATTTATTCTGATAATAGGTGTTTACATTTTCCATGCAAAAAAACTATCCTGCTACCTTAATACCTCAAAGTATGCACAAAGACAGTACAGCTGGAATATTGATGCACGGTGTACTGTCTGAGTACATACTTTGAGGTATTCTCGTAATAACCTTATTATTATACATCTTTTCCTTCCAAGTTTAAACAGAAATGAACAGATCAAAACTTGTATAAAACAAGAGATGGCTGAGCCATCTCCATGCTGGCAAAAGTATTGGATTATTTTTCAGAAGTGGACCAGAAATACAGAAGAAAAGAAATACACATAAAATCTCCAGTTTAGCCGTCATTGTAATTTAAGTTCTGAAATAGTTGTCATGAAATGTTGAAAAATTACAGCAAATCAAAAAAAATTTCACATGATACGAAAATAATATTTAATGTAATATGCATTTATTTTTTTTGTTGGTAACGAAATTTTTAATCTAAAACAAGTTGAAAATAAAAACAAACCTGAATACATTCTTTAGTAATAAATTGATCATGGTAGCATAGCGCAAACGGGTCATGCTGCAGTTCACAAGTGAATAACTTACTTGTTTTCAAAGTGATGCAATTGTCGATTATTACTCAGTAGTGATTATTGGAACATACAAAAATTCTAATCTGGGGTCAAGAAAGACTCAATTGTTCAAAAAATTACACCTAGATTTGTTATGATATCTTGAAACTTTGCCATTAAAACTTTTATACACGTAATAGAGCAGTCACATTTGTTTATTCAGCAGTTGGCAAGCAAGCAATCATTATATTTTCAGGCAGCAATCAAGCAGAAAGCAAGTGGATTAGGGATAGTGAGTTGGTCAGTTCCCAGAGAGAAAATTAGAGTTGAAAGAGGGGAGAATGCAGCCCCTCAGAACTTCCTGTTGTAAAACATGTACTGCATTTGTGCGAATGGATATCTCTAACAAAACACCTTATTTTGCATTGATAAGGGATGTTAAGCTTGCAACACATGGGGAAGCAAAAACATGTTGGCGAAAGGTTACAAGTTGTAGTAAGGTCACTTTTAGTGGTTAAAAAGAAGCCAGTTTCTTCAAATTCATGTTAACTGATTCAATATTTTCAATTGAATAGTACATGTAGTCATGAAATTATAATTTATGTACAGAAGTTGTAAAACTCACACAGGACTCTATTTAACTCAATCTATATGAAGGGACTATTTCTTCAAAGTGGGATAGCAAATTTTCACTGGGGAAGCGACTATACCTGAGAAATGAGAAACAAAGAATGCTTAAAAATAAAACTTGTGTGCCTAGGGAATTTAGAAGGCATATAAAGCAGAAATATCCATATTTAAAATTATTTACTAATTTAGGATTAGCTTCTCAAACAAGAATCCTGGCAGCTAATGCAGACAGGATTGTGAAAGATCAAATATGAAATCAATCTGATCTACAGAATAATGCAGTGTAAATTTATATGATAGTACGTTTGTGATTTATCTCAAAGCACCTATACGCACCAATTTAATTTAAATCTGATAAATAGTTGACATAACAGAAAATTGAATTTCTAATATGTATGAATTTCAATCCTAAACTAATTAAGTCTGTACAGTACCCTATCCCAGAGCACATAATGTATATGTACATTGTATGGACCAAGTTTTATTGAAATCTGATGACCTGATGATATCTGATGATATAAATATTTGTAGGAAAACTAAAATTAGGTAATTTAATCAAATTATCTAATTAATATACACAGTTTAAATTCTAAAGTAATCACATCTGAGAAATATCCAACTGTACCGAAGTATCTGATTGAAACTGTTAAAATTAGGCTAATTAATGGAAATTTGGAAAATAAAATGCACAGATTGCAATAAACAAATAATCAGGTCTGTGAATTATTCCAGGGCATCTTTGTACAAGGTCTCATTTTAATTTGACTGGTTGTTCTTGAGATACAAATGAAAAAGATAACTGTAAAATGTCTAATTTTCACTGGCTTTAAATTTCACTGATTTATCATTATTCAGTGGGTTTTAAATTAGCACATTTTCCAGTCAGCGAAATCAGCAAAGTTAAAACCCAGGGAATAATTAACCCTTTTACAGTAGTCAATATGCAAATTAAGTAAATGCACAGTTTATTAAGCCCTAAACAAAACACAATAATTATATTACCCCCATATAGCAACTATGAACAAATTTCACTGAAATCTGACGAGTGGTTATTTAAGATATCAAAACATTGCATGCCTAACTCCAATCAAATTAAAATAAGATCATGGGCCTTTTTTTCACATATTTTTTAAACGAGCATTTCATTATTTATTTTTCATATACAGTGTACTTTATTTTATTTTTTACTATTTATTTGCTGGCAGTTTTAAAAAGTTTCGGTAATTGCAAAAACCCATAAGTATTTAACCCAATGACCATAGAAATCACAATCAAATCTCATATATATGATACAGCCTTTTATACAGACTGACAACTTTCTCATAAGTGGAAATAGAGAATGTGATAAACAGCTAAAATATGTGATAAATGGCTAAAATATGTGATAAACGGCTAAAATATGTGATAAACGGCTAAAATGTGTATTTTGTCAGCAATTTGCACATGTTTGTACGAAGAACAAGCGTGAAAAGTTCTCACACATCGGTTAGCAGCAGTTCTGTTGCTCTTTTGCAACAGGCAATTTATTTTTAATTTATTGAATGTATTCATGATCATATTTTCTTGTAAGTCACACTAAACACAGCCACACATGAACCACGTAGATTGTCATTGTCTAATTATCTGAATATGCAGTTAGTTGTCAAGGCATTGGTTGTCCAGTGATAAATATTTTAAAAAAAATAAATAAAATAAAATTGACATTGCTTTTAGATTGTCAATAGAACAACAAAATAATACTACCACTGCAAATTTGAACTTATCTTGGATAAAGTAGTAGAACTTGATTTGCAAGAAATACACAGTTCTTACACTATACCTAATTGAGGTGCTAGTGGAAGTGGTAAGATTGTAATACTTCCACTCACACCTCAAGAAGCAAGTAGGTACTTCTTGTAGTTTTGAAATATAGTCCGTTAAAACTTATGTGATTTGTATTCTTAACAGATTATATTCCCATTTTTAGTGGAAAGCAGTGTAATGTTTTGAAGGTTCTATTTGAGTATGATTACGTCATTGCTCTAATTACCCAGAGTTCAATGCTAATAAACAGTACGGTAAGAGTGTTCCATCATTTTGAATCGTACGGACTGGTTCTTTTTACGTTAAGCCACAAACTTGTCAATATATTACATTTGGCATAATGTTTTTTTTTTGTAACAAAAATGATTTAATCAAATGCCGTAATGCTGACACTTGACATTTCTTAGGCATTTCACAACATATTATTTGGTTAAAGCATGGGTTTTTCTAGAAAAAAACTTCAAGAGGCAGCACTGCAATTTAGCATTACCACCAAGTGAGAGAGATAGGGTTTTCCCTACCAGGGTGTGGAGTGGAGTTTTTGATAATTCTAAGTTAAAATGGAGCATTATATGGCTTCCTTGATCATTGGCACCATAGTCTATTTCATTCACAATTAACAAACTGATTGCATAAACGATAATAATAATTTGAGTGGGATAATTGCTAAACCAATAGGCTCAGTTCAGAAAAGGCAATGACTGTACATGTATGTAATTACAGCCCAAAAAATTAGTTAGTTAGTTAGTTGAGTACCTCCTCAAGTTTACAGTGATTTATTTTTTTTATTTTTACTGACTTTGAACTTTAGTCGTGGTTTAAGTAGCACACTGGAACAAACTTGATGAATCAATCAATATGGTCAAATCCATTGGATCACGTCTCCATAAATATTCGTGATGTTTTGTATAGCGGCCACAATGTGATGCGTGAGCTTTGTGCCTTTATTTCCGTCTTTAACTTTGACATTATTTACAATGCCATTATACCGCACACCGTAATTACAAACACTGGGGATCATTGAAAAAAAAAAGATTCACTTACCAACATCATTTTTAAGTAGCTGTCTTCTCTTTCTATCAGAAAGCCACTGAAAGACGGAAAGTACACGCGATTGGTTACGAACATAACGATAATGATGTTACAGAACGACAATAAACACAAGTTGAGGTTTGGCCAGTTAGTAGTCGACGTTTTGGCGTCAACCTCGAACACAAATGTCTACTTACATCTGGTAAAGATCTTCCAACGCTGAGATTGTAAATTTTAACGTTATTCGGATTTGATACTTGCATTGTGATGAAAGCAAAAAGACTAATACAACAGGTAATCCGATAGTGATAAACACATGGTCCGCGTACCGGAAGTAAGAACTTTCAACTCTGAACTTTGACACAATTCTGTGAGAGGTCTGTGAGAGATATCTGTAAAATCAAATATAGAAGTGCTCTGAAATCATTTGCTGAAACGAACCCGAATAATCCTGATCATCCCAGAATTACAAGAACCAGGAATCAAGAACGTACTGAAAAATAAATTACCTGCAGGAAAAGGGCGACAAACTCAAAAAACAGCTGAAGATCATGAGTGGGGCCTGCCGGAGGTGTAATTTTGTGTATACATAATAATACACACGATGTTGATTGATTGACTAACACACTAGAAGTCATGTACATGAGTTGTTTATTTAGAAGTAAACTATTTGAAATTATGGGTTAAAAAATTAGGGTCTATGGATGGCTGAGATGTTTTGTTCGCAATTTCTAGATAAATAAAAATGTACTGACCACACACCCCTAGTCAGCCACCCCTATGATTACAATTGGTTGAACCCTCAGCGTATTGCCATATGGGATTCAAGGCTTTGTTTGTTGGATGTTGTTTATATGGAGACACAAATCCGTCGGGAGAGTGTAATTATGAAACGTTCGGGTGTTATTTTGCTATCAAAAATACACCATTGTACGCCTTGAAATATACATGAATTATTGTTTCAATTACTTCTAAAATGGTAACTGCTTCTTCAAAATTCCGTGTCACTGTAAATTCACGTGTTTTTCGGACGACGTTTTAGAAAATATGGGCCACATTCTTACACAATCAAAATACGACTTGGAAACTAAATAATCTCGACAACCAGAAAAGCCCCACGGCGATATTGTCGTGTTACCCTCCGAGTTGCTATTTTGATTTTAGTAATCCAAGGTTGTTCAGCATCAAAAGTGGAGAAATCAGCACTTCTGTGAATCTGGACTTTCGGGAAAACGTATATGTTAGCGCATTAGCCAGTAGCAATAGTCAAAATGTGTTTTCGATTACTCGTCTTATCAGTCAACAGTATGATTTTTTTCGGTTCACTGTCAATCTGTTTTTACAGAAAAACGGTAAAATAATATACATAAAATGAAATTTAGCAGCGATTTCCATGGACCACAATGAAAACACATCTCGTCGATAAAAACCTACTAAAATATTGTAATTTTTTAATACTTCTACTAGACATCAAAAATAACTTAGACCTTGTAAGAACACATGTCACCGTGCATAATTTTGAGATATATCCGTTTCATAGGAAACAGTGGTAAAATGTCCTAAAAAACGTGCTATTTTCACTCTATTTTCTCCAAACAGCGTACGATCCCATATTTTTATTCCATTTTCCCTTCAAGTTGATGGATTTCTTCGTGACATGAAATATCAAATATGTAAAAATGACAATATTTTCACTTGTGTGTAGCATTCTGCTTAACGATAAATAATTAAAAAATAAATAAATTGTGTCCAATCGCGTTGCTCAGGAACACTTTATATAAACCCGTTCCTTCCTTTTTATATAAATGATGACAGTCCAAAGGGCACAACGTGTAATTTATACGAATTTATAAAATGTTTACCGGTAGTAGCAGCTTTGTATATTTTGTTTTTCATTTATTGTGTTTCGGCCATTAAATTATCTACTCTGCCAAAACAGTCACAATTATGTGATAATGAATTTTTATCAAAGAATGTCAAAGTTCATTGTCTTATCTCATTGGTTGTTGTTTGATAGTCCATGCCGCGTACCATATCGGATTAAAATTCATTGTACCATGCGAAGGTACAATTACGTATTATTTTATACACTGACTCGATTTCATGAATACTAGTACGTTAATGATTTTTGTATAAAATATTCATAAACGTTTTTTTTTTATATATATATATTTCAAATGCTGGAACAAGTGACAAATCATTGGATTTGACGCAAGTGTGTCCTCCTGGGTAAAAGTATTTTATAAATTTTTGCTCATGTCTTCATAAAACGGAGTGTATGTAAAAGTGTACATAGTTCGTATTCTACAAGTAAATAGTCGATCACGTGACATCGATTGTGTGACGTTATGGAACGCAAGACTCCGCCCATCTTATCAATGATGCTATGTCACGTGACTAGGTATTTGGTAGATTACATTGTTGATGTTGCTCAGTGGCGCACAATTTGCGAACCACGCTGAAGAGCAGCAAATACGTAGGCTGCTTTTCACGTGCTATAAGCACAATTATAATATTAAAATTAGTTTTAGAATAAAGCTGTTGGATTTATTAATATTTATTATATATGCGATTTCAGACTATCAATTAAATATCATATTCTTTTTAACAAATAAAAAAAATAACGACAGAATATCATTAAAAATGCTCGTTTATGATAAAATATCTTTCTTGGTATGATACATTATTTACTCGTTGTCATAGTAACTGAATTTGACATCGCGAGCTCACAATCATCGTATTCAATGAGAAACATCGATCATATACAGTACTTACTGTCGACGACTATATAGATTACAACGCAGTTACCAAGAGTACCGGTTGCGCTTGGCAACGTAGCTGTTCAGTATTCGTACGTGTAACGGCTGAGTTACAAGGTAGCTGCCGAGAATTTGTTTAAAATTTACGTCTGGGTTCAACGTAGCTGTCAATAGTATATTTAACGGCTGGGTTACAAGGTAGCTGCCGAGAGTACGTGTAACGGCTGGGTTACAAGGTAGCTGCCGAGAGTACGTGTAACGGCTGGGTTACAACATAGCTGCCGAGAGTACGTGTAACGGCTGGATTACAACGTAGCTGCCGAGTGTACCTGTAACGGTAAGTTCACATTTTGTATACCGTGTTTAATCGTTCGCTTGCTGTGCTTCTAGTATATATTGTCTTACATACTGATGTGAAGCATCTGAATTGCCCGCTATACTTAACTGTCGCACATGTTATGTAGTCATGTAACACTGATCGCATTTAGTCTCATCGGTCTCATAAACTAAGAACGTTCTGAATGAACCGGTGAGACATTGGCGGATTGTAAACGCATATAGGCTGTCATAAGGGTTGTGATAAGGGGTTGAGCATAGGAAATAGCCGACAGGGAACACTAATAGAAAAACACGTGCAAGTCTAAAAATATTCCATAAAATGGGAAACAATACGGCAAATTCATCATGGAATAAAAAAATACCACAAAACTGAATAAATATTTAGAGCAGTTCTTCTGCTATTGCCCATCTCCCAGAGTTTCTAATGACACACTCCCAAGTACACATGTGAAACTAAAAGTAATTTAACACCACTGTAATTTGTAATTGTTTGTGTCTTGGATCATTGGTCGTATTCAATGGTTTAAACACGGTCCCTCCATTCCGGGATAGAGGGACTGTGGTTTAAAACAAACAAAATTGAGTTAAACACTATGTGGATCATGTAATATAAGTGGGTTAGTGTACCATTACCTTCTCCCTCTTACCTTCCTCTCAATATGACAATTAAAATTTGATTACAGCCAATTTACGCGGATAGAATCGTTAATGAGAAATAGAAACATTCAAAAACTATTTTTGATTTGTTCCAAAGTCAAAGAGTAGCGTAAAGAGTCAAAGGTCACCTGGACACAAAGGTGTTTACAGTCCGCGTCTCCGGTCTATGTGTTGTCTCTCGGCAAAATATATAAACCCATTCTCTTCATTTTTATAAACATTATTATATATCATTATATATATATATATATATATATATATATATATATATATATATATATATATATATAATGATATATAATAATGTTATATATATATATATATATTATACTAGTATATCATTATTATAAATTCCAATAGCAGTCCAACCAGCCAAACTTTGAGTGCCAGTGTTGTTGAGACAAAACTAACCGACAGGACGCTGTGCTGCTTCCTGTTATTCTGTAATCTTCACTTTTTGAATTTGTTTTGTAACCGTATAACAAACATGTATATCTTTCTAGTTACTGTACTGAGTGATAATATTTTTTTATACAAACCGCTAGTCCATCTAAGATTTCTTAATTTCATTATTGTGTCTTCAATTATTTAATTTATGAGATAATAATTAATATTTGTATGCTGGTACCTCCCATATTTGTGAAATAACAACTGTGAAAAACGTATTGAGTATGATACGAAAAAGAAGAACACTTGGAATATGTCCAATTTCAAATCCCTGACATTATTACATGATAACAAAACAAGAGTGAACAAGTGCATGAATATTCAGTGAGGGCAATGCAGTCCTTTCAAGTGGATCTCTCAGATTTGTTCAGTTCAAATTCCACATCCAGGTACCTACAATGGAACTCCATACAGAAATCTGAAAATGTTTACTTAGGTGATTATTTCAGCATTTGCATCAAATTTACATTTGATACAGCAATATTTGTAATTGTATCTTATCTGATTCCACGTTTTAGGTGTATTTATTACCCGCCCTTGCAGCATTTCCAAAGGGCAAGGCTATACTAGTTTCCCTGTGTTATAAAATCAGAGCAATCACAATACGAGCTTAATGTGTCAAATTACGAGAAATCAGAATATTGTAGTCAATAATGTACTAATACGACCGCCTTGATTTTTTTCAATAAGCATGATTTGTAAAATAACTACTCATTTCTGGAACGAGTGGCAAGAAATAGTACCAATGGCCTTGACCGCTCGAAATCCAAGATGGCGTTCTTTATGCTTAAACAGATATGTAATGTAGATCAAAGTGTCATAACGGGTCTTATTGAGATCAAGAGTTCATAAATTAAATTACAAATGATAGTAGTTACAAATGAATAAAATAAATACCGTCTAAATGGCAATTCATAGCAAAGTATGTTTTATTTGACACGAATACATAATTTATGTTCAACTGAAAATAACACACGCACAACATACACAATAAATAATCAAAATTTATAGTTTCTTAACATTTAAATATCAATACCTGTGTTGACAATCAAACCACCATTTGTACTTAGCAGATGGAAAAACAATTCTTTTTTTAGATAAAAAAAGAATATTTACACCATATATAGAATCAGAATTATTATATTGTTTTCACATTCAGTTAGTGCATGAAATTCACTGCCTACAGACTGATTAAAACACACAGTACATACTCTTTCCTCTGGAGGAAACTGGTATCTCAATTTTTCATTTGGTAATGTATGTGCTGAGATTCTAAACTTGGTGATACCTATTCTATGATTAACATTCCTGGCTTACATATAACTCGAATTCATCTAAATAAGGCACGAAGTACGTAACTATTTTAAACATTGGTAACAAAATCCTAAAGATGTTTCATTTTTGTTTCAGATTGAATCAAATGTAACCATGTATCATCAATTTCAGTAACATCATACGACTTGCTGATAAATGACACCTATGTATTTGATTTTTCTATTTTTGCTCTTTTCCAGAATTTATACACATTGACCAATAATGATAGGGTAACTATATTGCCTGTTTGTTTATGAACGACTTGAATGTGCATGTTCACAATACATGGGAAAGTTAGCCAATGCTTTGAACTTGACACACATATTTCCCATGTTATGCTAAACTTACATGCCAAGGTAACAGTAATTGTTTGGACTTTTTTGTACATTTCACATAGTTTTATATATTGTATTCTAATTTCTGGATCAAATTTTTCAATTTGTCTTCACATACTTTTGGTATTAATTAATTAATAAATATACGATGTATTCCTGTTAACAGTTATGTAAGCGTTGTATGAAAATCAATAAAAACAATCAATATTGTTTATTGTAAAATACTTTATTTTCACTTGTAATTTATATTCGAATATACTTTTTTCCTACATTTTACGAGTACATTAAACTGCTCAAAAATCAGTGGAAATATATTCCATACAAAACACCCACAAATTATTTTCAACGAAAATTAATTCCAGCTAAAATAAAGTATTTAACAGTATATGTGGTCTATGTCATTTACGTTTATTCTCAAACTGGCAAGCATCAATTTTATGCTAATGTAATTAGTAAAATTATTATCCATCAACACATGCAAGTTTGTGTACGGCTGTGCTCTGTCGTAACTGTGACATTAATGAACCGATGATGCACGTCCTTCAACAACAATAATATATAATAATGCCTCAGAAAAATTATAGGTAGCATTTTCCAATCCAAGTGGTACCAAATCATGGCGTAACCTTGTGTCCGCTGAGAATCTAGATATTAAATATTTTCTCAGTATGAATACAAACTATCGATGCACTCGACCCCTGGTACAATCTTTTTTGTGCACGGCAAAGGTGAGAATAAACGTCTTGAAACAATATATGAAACATACTTTTGTGCAGAAATTATTGGCTAGAATTTGGGTGAGAACAATTCTGACTAAAGATAGTCAAGAACAATGAAGTCATTATAACTACACATAAAAGTATGAGGTTATTACGAGGATTTGCAAGAAGACAGTACAGCAAGAATATGTTCCTCAATAAATGCTGCAAGTATAGAGTACTGATCTAGTTAATCTAAATGTCCCTTATAGAATAATTTAGCCAAATTGTAAACAATATCAATACAGTATATATGCTAGCCTCAACAACATTGTTTGTAGTGATTGATAAAAAATGTTTGATATATTGTAACAACAAGAAAACAATTGTGATTTCAATTTTACCAACACACGCCAAAAATATCTAAATTTGATTTGAGTCCTTGTATACAAGACAATGTTTCATAACCAACGACAGACATTATTCTCCCATATACGTTTCCCTTCACCTATGACGATGTACATGAACCAATGAGTTCCACGTATATCTACTTTCGAATGGTCGCAAACAAGTTTTTGTTTATTCAGCAATCACGTGACGTTATTAATGTTGACATTATAGTTATCATATTTTTTGGATAGAGTGTTGCAAGGGCTACAATAACATGTAAAAATTGTTAGTCATTATTATTATTTTATCAAGCTTTTTCTGTTTTGCCCAACGAAAGTCTACTACATCCTTAATGATTTGTAATTGTATAATACCAAATGTGAAAATAAACGAATATATCGCAGCATTTGTCATGTCAAGTCACGTAGTGAATACAAGTATGACAAGTATATGAAGAATATATTTATTATGACGTCATATAGTATAATTTCAATACAATATACGTCATTATTATAACAATAGTCCATAATAATGAATACCTGTAACAGTCGACATACCTTGAATAGTTCTTAATCGACCAAACAAATATTGTTTTGTAATTTCAGATTTTCCAGTACATGAAGCTGTAAAACAAAGATCGGAGGTCAACATGGCACAAAGAGCAGTCTATATTGTGTATGCAATATCTATGATTTTTAACGCGGGCAAAGTTGTGGGTCAAACAACACCAGAGATCGACAGTCATATCATCACGCTGATGACAACTGATGGTGTCAGTATTACTACTAAAATGACAAGTCCGGATAATCTGCTACAGGAAGATTTATCAACTGGTTTTAGAACATCGCTGTCTCCGGCATCCACCATGTCACCACATGAACAGGATGTTGATAACAAACAGTTGAACATTGTTGGGTTTTTTCCTCTTAGTGGAAACGTTTGGCGCGCCACAGGAGTTTTACCAGCGTGTGAATTGGCCATTGAACATGTGAACGCAAATGATGACACACTGTCTGGTTACACACTACGTATGGATTATGGTGACACACAGGTGAGTTACACATTGCATATGGACTATGGGTTGCTGAGGTGAGTTACACATTGCATATGGACTATGGGTTGCTGAGGTGAGTTACACATTGCATATGGACTATGGGTTGCTGAGGTGAGTTACACATTGCATATGGACTATGGGTTGCTGAGGTGAGTTACACATTACATATGGACTATGGGTTGCTGAGGTGAGTTACACATTACATATGGACTATGGGTTGCTGAAGTGAATTACACATTGCATATGGACTATAGGTCAATGAGGTGAGTTTTACATTGCATATGGACTATGGGTTGCTGAGGTGAGTTACACATTACATATGTACTATGGGTTGCTGAGGTGAGTTACACATTGCATATGGACTATGGGTTGCTGAAGTGAGTCACACATTGCATATGGTCTATGGTTTATTGAGGTGAGTTACACATTGCATATGGACTATGGATTGCTCAGGTGATTGACACATTGCATAATATGGACTATGGGTTGCTGAGGTGAGTTACACATTGCATATGGACTATGGGTTGCTGAGGTGAGTTACACATTACATATGTATTATGGGTTGCTGAGGTGAGTTACACATTGCATATGGACTATGGGTTGCTGAAGTGAGTTACACATTGCATATGGACTATGGGTTGCTGAGGTGAGTGACACATTGCATATGGACTATGGGTTGCTGAGGTGAGTTAGATACTACGTGTTAAATGTTATAAATTGGTTTTGTTATATAAGCCATAAATACAGTGTACCAGTAGATGGATTGTAATATCAGTCATTGTGAACCGTTGAATGTTTATTTATTTTTATTGATAGTGTAACCCTGGATATGGAACAAAAGTTCTGTTTGAGTTCATTAACTCCAATATTACTTATGTGATGTTGCTTGGTGCGGGGTGTTCAGGAGTCGCACAACCAGTATCCATGGGAGCCAACCTATGGAATCTTGTCCAGGTAAATTATAAGTTATTATATACACTAGACTAGCGACAGTCATCAGGTCTAATGTGTTAGTATACTAATTCAAATCAGCAAACGGCTGCGGCATTTTTTGTAAACGCCTTTGCCAGCTTAATAATTGCCATTTGATGACATCATATAACCCATGTCTTTTTCACTAATACGAAAACCAAATGTTCACCATATAAGTATACGCTATAAATGTCATCATGTTTGGGGAAAATGACATTTATTCTGTCTTAGTAGTGTGAACTCATTACCATAACTCTCGCATATTTCAAAATGTCCTCCAATGATTTGACGGTGAAAATATAAAATCGTATAATTGTCAATTACGAGGTCTTAAATGCCTTTCTAGCAATGAAGTCGCGAATTAGATCATTCCAAGCATTGTTCAATCGTGCAAGCAACGATTGAACAATGCCATAGTAACAGTTAAGAGGCGGGATCACGACAAAGCAGTACGTTATTTGGCATATTAATGCCTCTCAAAAGCTGAGCAGTCCGTGACTGGAACATTGTAACTTTACATTGAGTCACCTGAGTTGGCCTGTTTCTATGGTAATTTGCAAGTCGGGCTGAAATTTTAATTGAGTAAGATTGACACAACGCTGAGTGGGAAGTAATTCGACGAAATAAAATAATTATTATTACGTATATACGTATAACGATCCTAGATTTGAATTAAAATCATCTATAATAATAAGATTTGTTGCATTGTATTCATGCACAATACATTTGCCATTCGTACGGTTGTCTCACGTAAATTCACACAAGGTCTCTTCTACCATTACTGAATTTCAACGCGTAATAAGTATGATGTAATATATGATCCCTAGAATGGTTAATTAGATACTCTAGACTTAACACTATGTTAGGAAAGTTACAAAGTGCGAGAATCTCGTTAATAGTCAACTGTGCTCCACGACAATTAAATGTAACTATTTGTGCAGACATTGTAAGTACATGTCGAACTTGGTTTTAAACTTTTTAAAGTTAACATTAAGCTATTTTTTGTACAAAACTTTGAATATCGTTGGTTGATGTCATTGGTGAAATAAATAAATTGGCAATAAACATCCTAAATGGTGGATTGTAATGATCACGTTCAATAGCATACATTTGAATTAGCAACCCGATTTTTGGTTTACGGTTCACGGTTATAAAACCATCACTATCTTTGACACGTGACCAAATTTAAATTTGCCATGAGCATAAGTTTCTGCATAAGTTACCAATGTGGAAAAATGTCGTGGAGTGGGTCACTTTACTCTTTTTTAATTTCTTGGCACAAATTCTGCACGTCTTGCAATAGTTCACGGCTTGGAGCCGACCGGTACATTCCACGATGTTTCATTTTCATCACTGCTCGTCTTAGGACTTTGTCTGTTTTTATAACTGCCGATATATCTACATGCGTTGTATTGGCTGGTTGTAACTATGATAAGTCATTCACAATAATTCAAGGGAGATCTTCGGAATCTGTCTCGTGGACCAACTACTAAACAAGGTTTTCTTAGATGATTCAACCAACCTCTTCGTTCGTAAAGTTATTAGTGCAAAACTTAACGATGACATCAGTCGTAAGGATGACGATTTTATTTACAATAAAGTACCGGATTTCATTAATTATTGCGTCACTGGCTATATTAGATAATATCTGCAAAGATTAATCATTTTTCTGATAACTACTTTCTCACCCAAAACGTTTTCTAACAACTTTGGCATAACAGAATATTATACCTGCCAAAGAAATGTTAAATGTTAAAGCTGGTCGTTCCCTACAAAACCCTATGTTTTATAGTTCAGACGAAAGAAGACAATGTCTGCATATATACCACGGGTTGTGACAAGGCGAATGACTAGGGAACTATATATCCCATAGACAAGAGAGACTGCGATGTTTCTGTGAAATTGTCGAAATTTGTGGTCTCCTTAATCTCAAGTTCAACTGGATATAATTTAGGATGGTTGTTTGAAAGTACATCATCATTATCTGAAATTAAATTATTTTTTATTTGCTAAAGGTGAATTGTTTATAAACAATTATTTTATCCAGTAAGCCCGGGGATTTTAATAAGACACTCGTAATAACAACAAACAAACATACACTATATTTCTGAAAGCCTTGTCTGTGGGAAGTATAACATACCTATTATGAGAATCAGATAGACAATTGATTGCATCACGATCTTTAAATACATACTTTGGTCACCTGATGCATGACTCAAGTCTATGGATTCGACTTCTGATAGCTTTCACCCACTCTGACAAAGTATGCAGCTCCACCTCCTCTCGTTTGGCACACTAGTATATTCTTCAACCGAGTCCATAATGATTTTAAAATTGTGACTCCAGTTGATTTATTGAGGTTCCCAAAACTGCAGTCCACATGATATCATCTTTCGAAGTGTGGAATAATGTTCAGATTTCAGTAATAACATAACCAGCTGGGGTAAAATGAAGAGGTCGGGCAGGCACAAGTAGTTTGATTTTCAAAAAATCTGTTATGCAGTGCTTGTTTATAGATGAAGAGTTTGTACATGTATATTTGTAAGACGAATGGGCAAAGACTGGTTATCAAAAAAGGTATTTTAGAGTTATCGACCTTCTTATGAAGTATATTGCTGACATTGATTTATTTAATTCATTTATTTGCAAAAAACAGATGCATGAAGTAACGATGTTCATTTGTCAACATCAGTTATCGAGCTGCTTTGAAAAGTAGTTGAAATGTCACCAATATTACCACTGGGGAGTTTGTAATCTTATTCTGTTCTGGGATCAAATTAAAAACAGCTAGTTGGCAGTCATTTGAACTGCTTAGTATGTGTATATGTGTTTAGTATTTTATTTAATGCAGGTTATAGAAAAAAATATATGTAGGAAAAGCAATTATACATGGGAACTTGCAAATTATCACCATGCACACATATAGTCACGCGGAGATGGAACATATTACAATTAAAATAACCATATTCAGAAATTCAATTAATTTTTGTATTGCATATGCGGAATAGAACATTCATTAATATTGCATAATAACTCGGTGTTATCAATCAAAGGTTATTATATACCAAAATTAAAATATTGAAAAAAAACACACATTTTATTTAAATTCGTCAACATCCCAGAACAAAATTATATTTTTTTCCTTAATATTGATTCCCATTATGGTTTATAGTTTGCAGGTAACATAGCAACTGTGGCTTTCAATAAAGCATAAAAATGGCGCAGATAAAATGAACTTGTGTGGCAAATCAATAATAATTACGTTTCGTGTAATTTTTCCTAATCTCTGTCTTTTTCTATTTGATTCATGTGTGTGTCACAAAAATACGTTGTTCGTATTATATGTTACACGTGACATCAGTGATTTACGATCAGTCTCAAAAAAAGTTTATCACAGAACAGAGAATGACACACTGAATATATACATTGTAATGACATTTGCTTGAACACCAATCAAGACACAAGTCACAGAAATTGTATATTGGGGAAGGATATAGTGTCCAAATACAATAAATTACAATATATTTGTAATTCATTGCAAAATATAATTTTATAATGAATAAGTGATATCTCACAAATATTTTTTTTGCAGCAGTTAAATAGTTAAACAATCTACAACCGAATATTAAATAATTAAGAGGATTACGCTAAACATGCAAATTATAAGCATTGAATGTCCCTCATTGGTAAATGTAAACATGGTTTTTCATTATACCATTGGGATAAGATGGATGCATAGTAAACATATCTTGTCCATGGTCTAAATTAGCAACTCAAATCAGAAGTGTCAATTTATCAAACCAAGAATATAAGATTAGAGCGATTAATAAACCAACCAACACAATACGTTTTGAAATTCTCGCACAGAAAGATGATATCTTCTATTACTCGCAGATTATAGTTTAAATGTTTATGGCAGCAGACAATTGTCACGATTATTGACTTTTGATTGACCTTTAGGTGTTATTAGTTTGAGATTAACATTATTCACAATAATTTTAATTATAATCCGAATTCCGAATAGTTGCCCCGACAATCACGGCCAAGTGAATTTCTATCATTTCTGGAATCTATCATTTTGGGTTTTGTCGTAATTTCAATTGATGAATTTGGATGTGGTGATGATATCAAAAGTAACGAAGCGGCGAATCAACCGGCTATAATTTAAATTGTGATTACGTATCGCCAGTTTTAAAATTGAAATTACGCCAAAAACCAAATTGTTAAATTCCAGACAATATTAGAAATTCATTTGGTCGTCATTATTCACGACACATGCTACATCTTATATAACAATTGTGAGCCACAAACCACGGGAAGGTCTAGTATTTTATTCAGTCAGAATTTAGATGTAGTGTTAGTTGCACGACTGTGCTTATTTGAGTCCTGCCAGGAATCAGCTCGCAAAGGATGTAATACGTGTATTTTGCGCGTTGTACTATAATCGCATACATTCCTGTGCTCGCAATCAAACATTCTCAAACACACACTGCGTTCTGTGACGCTATAGGTTAGAACTACGTTCAAATGATGAACACAAAATTGAATCGCTTGAGTTGACTTCCCGTTAAATCGTCATCGCATATCAATGTACTGGTTATATCTTATAATTTCTTGGTATAATTTATTTATTCAAGCTCATATCAATTGATTACAATTTATATCTGGTGAGTTACAGGCCATGACGTCATAGATATCAACCAGTTTTGTTCTCTGGAGAAAAAAACGAATCGTACAGAAGTTGACAAAGCATTCAAAATTGAGCAATATTATAAAAGAAATGTAAAATACATATATTTTGAACACTTAAAAAAACGATGTTTCTGCAAATGTGTCATATCTTCCCAGGAATTGCTAATGGCCAAACCCCCAGTCAACCCTAATACAATTACTAAATACAGTTGTCATCACAATATATACGGATTGAAATATAAATAAATTGGAGTCAATTCAGATCGTGGTCGTTTCACAAACTGTGAAACATTTCCACTGAAACAAATCTCTGTGCTTGGGGGTTCAGATAATCACCAGTAATATTGTTGAGAAACACCAAAACCTTGGAATATTGGCGTATTTTGCCAACAATTCAAACTGCTTGCATAGAACAATCACATTGAAATTTTCCTATATCTCCGTACTGAACTGTCGTAATATATGTGATACATATGTCTGTAACATCGTCATACATTTGCCTATTGTCTTCGTTACTTGTTTAACAATTGTAGACACTTTAATTAGTCATATCCGTGCATTCAGCCAAACTCACTAAAGGTACATATTAAGATATCGTAATCTGTAATTGCAATGGTAACAAGTGTTCGCCATTCTGAATACACCGTGACTGAAAATAACAATTTTATATATTCGGATTGATTTATAATTTGTATTCATGGTCATTTACAACAGGTCAAACGTTCATTTTTTTCTGTGTGTTTTTTGCAGATGTCTTATTCAGCATCGAATCCAGCTTTATCGAACACAATTCGCTATCCATCGTTCTACCGAACGTACGCACCAGACTCTTTATATAACAACGCTCGTCTGGCCATGATAAAATATTACGGGTGGAGAAAAGTTGCCACACTCCACGAAAACCAAGAACTCTTTTCTTCGGTAAGTATCGGCTCATATCCATAATCACAGCTATGACAGGCCGTATTCTATTTTAACTGGTCCCTAAACAATTGATACCAGAATTTTAGATGCAGTGCTGGCTGCACACAATTGTTAATTTGTCGCCTTTTTGGGTAATCAGCTCCTGGATTATATTCGCAAAGCATGTAATACGTGCGTTTTGCAAGTTCGAATACGAAAACCCTCTCAGTTATGTTTACACAATCGAACATTTCTGCAACGCTATTTGTTAGAACTGCTTTCAAATGATGAGCACTGCTTTCTAACGTCCACAAAACGCATGAGTTTGCTTCTCTTCAGTGCATATCACCGTATATGGTTATGACAATTAAGATATTCTTATAATATACATACTTGGTATTTTATTGTAGCACATTTCAATTGTTAGTTACAATTCATATATAGTGATATCATGTTGATGTGGGTTACTTACTATATATGAGTAGCGTGTGTTGTTCATATTTTCCTGTCCTGCTTAAATTATTTTTTCTCTTTATTTTTTATCTCATCAGACAATAAACCACCTCAGCTCACTTCTGAGAGACAACGACATTGACATTCTAACGTCAGAAAGTTTTACAGTCGATGCATCTGAGCAAGTCAGAAACCTCAAGGTATGACAAACGTAATGCAACATTAAAGTTGTTTTAATCGTAAATCTGTTACGTAATACGATTACAGACTCCGTGGACTGAACACCATATAAGATTCGTTGAAAAGGATAGTTATGCAGGTGTTTTGAGTTGCAATTACGTGTATAATTATTTGTCTTTAGAATCTTGTGTGCAACGAAGTGAACGTAAACTCACCATTACATAGAAATAATATTAGCCAACTCGAAATATGCGTGGAATGCAAAGCTTGTGTCCAATCACCAATACCTACACTAATTCGTCTAGTCCAGAAATCAGGTGTACGATCAACTAGAACCATCGAGACATCCGCGAAAAAAATCACTCTAGCCAAGCTTACCGAATGACTGTGATGGCAGGTGACCTGTTTTTCTGTTCAAAATGATGTATAATGTACCCCGTGTGCATATCAATGCGAGAGATACTATACATAAATTAAACTGGTACGCAACGGTAGTTCGTGTTAGGAAACTGTAATCGTCTGTACAAAATCATTGACTATGTCGTAATTAAAAGAAACTTACACGAGACGAGAGCGTATGAGGTCGGCATTATTGTTATCTTGTATTATTGTTGTGGGGTAAGGAGTCTAATAAGTTAAATATTTCTTTTCCAGGAGAAAAATGCACGAATAATTTTTGGTAATTTTTATGAAGATATGGCCCGCCAAGTTTTCTGTGAAGTAAGTCATTTGTATCAAATTAGAATTATGGTAAATATTACCATCGGTCATGTCTGTTGCATCATCAGTAGCCAGTTTTTATCGGACTGAATTTTCAAATTGCCCGCTCATATTATAATTTTCTGTCAACGTGCTTGGGAACTAATTGCAGAATCGGGGGACAGCACAACTCAAGCTACACTTTGTGACACACAAATAATTTTACGTCCCCGACGTATTTCTCCCAACAGAAAAAAAATGAACACTAGGTAAATGACAACTCGCTTTGAACGAAATTTTGGCGGGCATTTGCATCGAAGGTCAAAGCGAATTAAACTAAGCCAAAAAGCGACATTG